ACTCTTTGCCCAGGGAGGTGGTCGAGTCCCCATTCCTGGGGGTATTTAAAAGAAGGGTAGATGAGGTGCTTAGGGACAGGGTTTAGTGGTGGGATGGCAGGGTTAGGGGAATGGTTGGGTTTGGGGATCTTAAAGGTCTTTTCCAACCTAGATGAGTCTATGATTCACTTACACCAGCACAAAGAGAGAAAAAAAAAGTGCCCTTAGTGACTCTGCTTGTTATTATTCGAACAGAAGGCCAAGAGAGAGCCATCCGCTAAAGAAATTCCACCTCTTGAGATGATGACACGTGCTATATTCCGGATAGCAGAAGGATCTTTCTGCAGCGGTCCAAGGAAAATTCATCACATTCCTATGACTCACTGCCTCTGCTCTCTAAGTCACAATCTTTTTCCTCTGGAGAAGCCATCCACCTCATCTCACAAAGACAGCCATGCCAAATTCTCCGCTCTGCAGCTCCTGTGCCTCATCTCTGGTGTTCAGTTTCCTTTTTATGGAGTCTTCTGGCCACGGAGAACGACAGATTTTGGTTCTTACAGCACTACCCTACCGACACACAGGAACTGGGAAGCCACCGTGCTTGGGAAACGCTACTTTTGCCCTCGCCAACGTCTGTGGAAGGGATTCCCTTCTGAATCGCTGCTAGCTGGCGTGCGGGCTCCCTGCTGACCTGATCTCTGCTGGAACAGGGCTGGGGCCAGACCGGTGGTGGAAAAAGCAAAAGAGCTGGGAAGCTGCAGTTAATCCCTTCCCACACAGGCCCCCCATGCCCAAGTGGTTTTGATTCTATGATTCTATGATGAATTCTATACTTGCGGACTCTCCTAGGATGCAAAGAGCAAGGGAAGTGCCCCCGTGTTAGGGCAGTACTCCTGCAAAGTCAGGAGATGGGAACTGCACAATCGCTCCTGGAAGCTTGATGAGAACTTCACTGCTCCCACCACATCATTGCTTTTCAGAAAAAGATTTCCTTTCGTATCGCTGACGACAGAGCATGGAAATGCGAGGTTACAAAAGCACAGGTCGCCTTTTTCTATGCACCTTGCTACAGCAACTCAGGAGAAGAACAGGAGGCCCTTCCCTCTCCCGTCTCGCCCACGCACTCGTCCTGCCAGCACCACGGAGCAGCTAAGGCTCTTCAGCACATCTGGAGGGAAGACCTGTAACAAGCCCTTAACTGTCTTTCCTTCTGGATGGTTTTGCTGCCGCCTTTGGCTTCTCAGCGTTCAGCAATTACCAAGGCGAAGCTGCACGTCTAAGTAATTGCTTAGAGCCAGGAAGCGAGGTGATACCCATGTGAAGCCTGAATTCCAGAGGTAACAGAGCTCCATGTTCTCCCATCTTCCACGTTGCATTCCGCACCATGCCAGACCCTGCGTTTTCTCTGAACGGAGGACTCGAGCAGGGTATTAAAAAGAAGAGAGAAAGCAGCCGCCAGTGGTTGAAATGGGAAATGTATTTCCCTTGTTTCAGCATTTCACAGCTGAAATTTTTTAAGAGGGGGCCTTTCAGCGGGACCAGTCTCAGAACTGCTACAGGAGAGAGAAGGACCCTGGGGTCTGCGAGGCCAAGCCTGCAGCAGAAAGCGTCACCCAGGGCACAAGGGGCTTACCTGCATCAGGAGGCGAAGAGGTTTTCCATCCCGCCGCTCAAGGACTCGGAACTTCACACCAGCTGAAAAGAGACAAAACAAGGAAATCAAATCCATGCTGGAGAAAAAGCCCGTGTGCCTTTTGCTGTGCAGCTCCGCTGGCTGAGCTCCGATTCCCTAGAAACGGAGTCTTCAGCCTTTCCTGATTTGTGAGCCCTTACACCTTTCCAGCGGGAAGCACAGATTCTCTCTTATAGCAGTTTTAAGTGACAAATGCTGCGTTCCTCTTGGCTCCATTAAAAGCAGCCCCCTGACTGCCAGCCTGAAGACGCAGCCCTAAGGAAAGCACAAAGCCTAGAAATCAGCCGGCCAGAGCCGATGATGATGAAGGGACTAGGAAAAGCTTTCTCTTTTCCCAAACTTCCATCAGAATGGGAGCTCCATGGGAACAGCAGGCAGAGAGCTCACCTTTACCGTGTGCTCATGGGGGTACAGCACACGTGCACACCTCTCCCTCTTCCAGACCGAGGGAGGAAAGTGGCTGGCCTGGAGGCATTAAAGACATTTCAGAGCAATCCCCGCCTTTAATCCCAGTGTTCATATGGTTTTAACCCACTACTAACCCCACCAAACCTGCCACTTTTACATTTCTCCGTGGACCCACTACGTTTCCAATACTTTACAGATAAATAGGAAAGATTTTGGACTCCAGTGGTGGCACACTGCACAGGCCCATTTAACGCAATGTTCCAAACTAGGACTGGGGAGGCATTTTCCTTTGGAAGATCTTGCATCACTGCACAGAAAGAAAACCGCTCCATTTTCTGGAAACCTGTGCCAGCCAAGTGTGCCCCTGTTACTCTTTGCTACAGGTAAAAAGATGAGGCAGGTGATTGAGTTAGCGGTGCCCCTGCTCCCTGCAGGGGGGTTGGACTGGATGACCTCTGGGGGTCCCTTCCAACCCAAACCATTCTATGGTTCTATGATCATAGAATAGCAGGGACACCGCTAACTAGATCAGGTTGCTCACAGCCCGGTCCAACCTGGCCTTGGATGTTCCCAGGGATGGGGCCTCCACCCCCTCTCTGGGCAACCCCTGCCAGGGTTTCACCACCCTCACTGGAAAGAATTTCTTCCTTAGATCCAGTCTAAAGTTTCCTCCTTCTGGGAGAGAACGCTCTTGCCTAGCAGACAGCTCTGGTTTAAAGTGTCTCCCCAAATCATAAAGCCTTTTTTGCCCAAGACAGGAAGGATTTATCGGTGTTTTGCTGGGTTATGCTGAAACATGGGCTTCCCCAAAGGCTTTGAAGAGACGTTTGAGTACCCTGGGTCTCAATAAGCAGATGTGCTGGATGACAAAAAGTGTTCAAGATGATTCATTGAGTTTGGGCTACGAGGAAGTGCCTAAGCCGTTCCAGGAACTGCTTTTCCGGCAGGTGATTTGTCAGAGAGGGACAGAAACGTGTGGGTACTGCAGTTTCAGGTACGTGGTTGAGCGCTCTGGAGCCTTATCCCAGGACTGGTCCATCAGACCAGAAAATGCTGCTTCTGTAGGTCATGGCCACACGCTTCCCTTCTCCAGCTGCAAGTCCGCAATCTCTTAATTAGATTATTTTATTG